TATCGGTGCATGCCATAAGTAGATATTTGTCTATGTTGTGTCTCAGCTGAGTAAGGTTCAGTGGCTTATTTCCATCTCCTTGGAGTTGAGTAAAAGTATTTATTTCTGCAGGAATACCATTGGGATACCAACTTCTGAATTCTCTGGAAAAAAAAAAAGAGTGTGTTATGGGGGAAACCTTGCATCATGCCCCTGGGACGGAGTTTGCCTGTGGTGCAACAGTGGGGAGCTGTGATCACTTCGCAAGCATCTTGGAAAAGGTGCAGAGCAGAGGCCCTGCATTCGATCCCTTGGCTCACTGCTATGAGGACCAACTCACATGAGGATGAGGATGGCATGAGGATACTGATAATAAGGGTTTTTTTTTTTGTACCAAGTTAAAACCCACAGGAGGCTGAAGGGAGATGAGACTCTACCCTGGGAAGTTCTGGCAGGAGGCTGCTGCTTTCTGTAACTGTCTCAGAAATACAAGTGAGGAATTCAAAGTACAAGACAGATGAACAAAGAAGGCAACAGAGTGGAACTAGTAACAGCCCCAGGGAAAACCAGAACAGACAGGGAAGAGTGTTACAAAGTGCTCATCAAATTTACATGCAAATAGTAATGCTAACATTGTACACGATTAACTCCTCACTTGACTGAATCCTGTCTGGATGAAAATGTATAGATTTAAAGTTATGTTTATGTCACCTGACACTGAGGGGACAGACAGATTCTTTTAGGGATCCTTGGCAGAATGATGATGACACTAAGTTGTAGTTACAATTAAAGCTTTATTTTCTTAACAGGATTTTATGAACAGTATAGCACAGAATGTGTGATTAGAATGGCACAGGATTTCTCCAAGCAGAATCAATGTAGTACAATTTATAAGTGGCATAATACAGAATTTGTAATACAACTTAACTTACCATTTCTAATCACCTGGTCCCTCTGCAGATCAGATTGGATCTTAATATGTGGTTTGCTGTATCAACGTAACAGTCATAACCTAGAGTCAAAAATCATATAAAAGAATACGAGTCACTCCATCCATCCTCAGAGCAAGCAGATGATGGTGGAGGTGTCCCTGGCCACTGGGGGGTCCTGGTCTCACTGTCCAGCAGCAGTCCTGGTCCAAGTTTCCCCTTAGGACTTGTAACTGCTTGGTTTTACACACAGTGCTCTGGGTGCTGTTACACTTCCCTGTTCTGTGGCAGGGTCATCGACAACACTGGGTTGGCCGGGTCCTTGGGACCTTGAAGGCGGTGGGGAGGGGTAGAAGAAATCTGGTTTGTCTACTTGGTGCACAGGACCTTCAGGGCCTGAAAATGGGGAGAAAGGGAACAAATACGTGACCTGCTTGGTCCCAGAGAATGACTGCTGGCCTTAAAAATGGCATTATGCTAACATTAGTTATGCTAATGACATTACCAGGGTTTGGGAGCAGGAGGTACTGGTCACAGTTCCTTTAAGAATTGCTTTACAAACAGTATCTTAACTTCTTCTAATCAAATATTAACAATCTATTTATGGTTATTCTTCACTGTCTTTGTTGGTTCAGTTTATATCTCAGCCATTGCCTAACTGTGAGAAAGCAGAATTTCTCTGAGCAATTATAAAATGGATATGTAAAATCTTGTTTTTTCCTTGGTAGAATTATTTTACACCTATATTATTGCCCTCTATGAACAGAGCTGCCTGCTGCTTTAGCTTTCTTTTACCTCCCTGCCAGACAGAAAGCCTGTCTGTCTTGCACTGTAAGGCTTCTACACTGTTGCAGCCAGTAGTAGCTGTAAATGAATGTTAATTCGTTGTACCCACTGCACTGCAGACTATTCATTTGTTGTGTACTCCCTCTGTTAAATAGATCAGAATACCCTGCAAAGTCAAATGTGAATGAATGAAACAAAGACTTAGTGCAGCTCTGAAGCATTTGGCTGTTACTACTCCATGAAACTCTGCTAGGCAGTCTGTTTTGTGAGGCAGAGTTCATGACATCTGTGACTACATGCTCCACATTTGAATTTGGCAAAAATAATTTAATTGGGAAAAGCAACTTGTTTGCTAAGACTCTGAAATACAGTGTGGTGTCATTCAAGTTCAAATGTAAAATATTTTATTAACATTCCCATAAGAAATTACATTGGCAAGAGCTTTCGGTAAAAGGTTTGGAGAGAATCAACTTGGAGTTAAGACTTTGACTGCAGAATTTTCAAACTCTTTTGGTCTTGTGGCATGCCATGGCAAGGAAACACTGCTGCCTGCAGACCTGTGGGTGTTGTTCAAAGGCAACTCCTAGTGTCTTCTCCCTGCCATCAGAGGCTACAAAAATTGTTCACTAAAAATCAGCAGGCTGACATTTCAAAACACTTATCATCCTTGCTGAATCAGGGGCTTTACAATTATTGCCACTATAAACAAAGAAAACTGAATACTGAGAAGTATTTACACCAAGAGAAACAAAAATTCATTGTTGTGCCTCAGAGAAACACAAAGTATGTGGAGTGAAGCATGCTGTTAATATTGCATAATCAACAGTTGTCTGTGCTTTCTTGACAGTGATTTTTTCTTCCAGTGAGTAAAGATTTTTCTTTGCATAGATTTCCCCCCCCTGCCAGTTTGCTAACTCTGGCTAAGTTTTCCTCAGGGTGTCTGAATCATAGCTTATGAAATACTGCTGGCTGTTCCCTGCAGGTCCCTTTACAAGAGCCACAGAAAACTTCATGTTCATTGCCTTAGCAGCATAAAGTTATGCTATGGAAAGGGCTCTTAATGTAGGAAACAGCTTCTGAAAGATGACCATCCTCACCTTTGTATTCACTTTTGTGGGATGTGTGGTAATGACTATCTGACAATTGCTTGAAATTGTACAGCAAAAAGATGGAAGAAATTTTACATTTTGCTGTCTTAATCTATGTTCCTCTATTTTAGCATTTTCCCATATAATCTAGAAATGCATTTTCTAGGATACATTTTCAGGCAGCAGTTAATAATTAGTCAGTTTATTTCCTATATATTAACTCAGTGCTGACTGAAGTTCAAGACAAAATACAAAGCAGATAGTGAAGGTTCATCATTTAGGACAAGTACTTTCCTGCAACAGATAATAAAGAAAAAGGAAATTCTCTTCCTTATACATACTTATATAGCATGTCTATACATAAGATGTCTTAAAAATTAATCAGAAATAGCTCAGGTTATGATATTTAAAGAAAACCTTTCAGAGGTTAATTCTGACCTGATTTATACCTTCTATACACCACAGAAGTTTTCAGTACAGTTAGAGGGAAATTTGTCCAGAAATTCAGATTTAATCCATGTATGTTTGCATTTTTTTTCATACCATTTTCCCCTATTGTATATTGAGTCACTTTGAAATAACAAAGTTAGCGTTTTGAATTTCTGATTTCTCTGGCTCTGACTCAAAGAACCGGACTGGATTATTCCCCAGTCTTGTAGTACCTTTTGTCAGGATCAGAGTGCATGTACTTTGTGTATGAAAAACTAAACACGGTGGAGACACTATGCTAGGAATACAGTAACTGACCTGTGTCCACTCACGTCTTGTGCACTCGAGGTGCAGAGTAGACCGCAGGTTGCGCTCGCTACCCAAGCGCTGGGGGGGAAAGGCAGGCGCTGGGGCTGTACGTACGTGAGTGGAGGCGAGACCTCTAGTGGACACAAGGGAGAAATGCTTAATGGCGACACCTGAACACCGCGGCGGGGATCCATCCATAGGTACTGTGCGGGAAAAGCTGCTGCAAAGGCTCTTTCCAGCTGTCACGTGCCCCATCACGCCGTATAGTTTTGATTAAGTGCAGGGGTCCCAGAAAATCAGTTAACAGTACCTGATTTTTCAACTAATTTCAAAATCATAATTGCTTCTCTAACTGAACAGCTACACTGGGACATTCCCCAAACTGGGCGATGAGAGGCTGGAGAGCAGCCCCCTGGAAAGAGATCTGGGGGTTCGGGTTGATGGCACATTGAACATGAGTCACCAACGTGCCCTGGCAGCCAAAAAAGCCAACTGTGTCCTGGGGTGCACCGAGCACAGCATATGGTAGCGTGTTGAAGGAGGCAATTGTCCCACTTGACACTGCGCTGGTGCAGCCCCACCTTGAGTGCTGTGTGCAGTTTTGGGTGCCTCGGTACAAGAAGGACATCAACCTGTTAGAGTGCGTCTAGAGGAGGGTGACCTAGATGGTGAAAGGTCTCGAGGGCAAGACTTGGGTCACTTGGTTTGCTCAGCTTGGAGACCAGCAATAGGACACGAGAAGACAGAATGAAGCTGCATCAGGGGAAGTCCAGACTGGACATTAGGAAAAGGTTCTTCACTGAGAGGGTGGTTGGTCACTGGAACAGGCTCCCCAGGGAAGTGGTCATGGCACTGACCCTGTCAGAGTTCAAGGAGCATCTGGATGATGCTCCTAGTCATGTGGTTTAGTGTTAGGTAGTCCTGCGAGGAGCAGGGAGTTGGGCACAATGATCCTTATCGGTCCTTTCCAACTTGAGATACTCTGTGATCCAAAGGACCATGCTTTGGCTGCAGGAGGCTCTGGCTTCTCTTCCCATACAGCTGACATCTGCTTTCAGCCACTGCAGGGAGGCTATTTAGGAGCTAGAATTCTGCACTTGGAATGAGGCTTCCTTACAGCAGAGAAATTTCTACCTAGGACACTCTAGCCTAGTTGTTTCAGGACTACAACTGGAAGACAGAGGTAGGTGGAAAGAAATCAGGTAGGAATTAAACTACCATCATCAAAGTCCTTCAGTTTATTACCAACCTCTTAAAAACTGGACAAAGCCAAAAGCTGACAGTAATATTAACTGGGGATCTTGAAAACAATCAATCACACATGGTGCACATTTTGGTATAATTAACAGTAAAAAGACATCTATCTTCTATGGTGACATACCTCAATATCTAAACAAATTTCTTCCTGTGACTATGTATCAATGATGTGATGAAGTAGGACACTTGGCACAGTGCCACCCACTGCACTCAGGATAAACATTTAGATGGTCAAAACTGGTTTTATTTACAAAGTTTTTCATGCATGACAGCTGACTTTTTCTTCTAAAATTATATAAAATATCCAGGAAAAGGATGACATCGCATACTTGTGTGGACAACAATGAAAGAAGAGGAAGAATATTAAAAAGCTTAACTAATAACAGGAAATAGTTGAACTGAGGTAAAGTTACAAAACAACGAAGCCTTGACACTGATTACAGGGCTAAAAAGTAGTTCAAATCTCCAAGCCAAGAACTGACACCCGCAGAAGAGCCAGCCGTTATTCCTTGATATTTTGAAGTAGCCTTAATAAATGAGACTCAATAACCTGTTGAACTAAAGCAGAGAAAAAAAAATCAGGTTAATCAGTGTTCAACATTTTTTCACATTTTTAGGGTTGTACTATTTTTTCCTGGCAGATTCCTGCTTGTCCTATACAATCATTTAATAAAAACCAGACAGGAATAAATTCACTCTGGGAAGAGAGTTTGCATCTCTTCAGAAAATAAAAGCCTCATATAATGCAAAACCAATACACCCAGTAAGGCAGATGATGGTTTTTGGAGGTGATGATCTGTTTGCTGGTTTGAACAGGCTGATAGATAGCATATGGAAAGCAAATTTTTAGGCCTGTAATTGCAAAGCAGGCAAAAACGTTTATTAGAAGCTACTTTGTGGAACATTTTGAGATTGAACTCTTGAAATAGTCCTACATCTAGACACTTGTGAGGTTACTGGCCGCACCCATAAACACAGGGCTCTGCTTGGAGAAGCTACACGTGCAGTACTGGGCTTATTTTTTTATTCAGTTCATTTCTGTAATGGCAGACATTTCACAGCTTTCAAAATGAAGGCAGCATGAGGGAAAACCAATGAAGAGTCCCTCCTTTGCCTGTTTGCCAGAGCCAAGTAAGGTAGCCTAATTCACTCATCCTGGCACTACTATTGTCTACCTCCAAGACAAACTAGAGCTAGAGCTAGTCTGACGGCGAAGAAGGTTTTGCAAACTGCATCGCATCATGCCAATCAACAAAGCGCCAAGGTGAGGGGTTCAGGAGGGCTGCAGGCCTCTTATCATTGTCCAGTGCAACACACACTCCTTTGTACAGGGTGGGGGAGCAGCTCAGCTCCCCTTGTCTGGATCATGGCTGCATCAGCCCAACACACCATTACTTGTGCCCACACATGCAGATTCAGGTCAGTGACATTTTCTTACCACACACCCGGCTTTCTGAGACAGGGGTGGAAACTACTACCCATTTTGGGCTGATAAATTTAGGTGTATTAAGACTCGTATGATAGTGTTCTTCTTATAGCTGCAAAACCTCTACTAGGCCGTTACAGCAGCTACATAAACAAGGAGCAGTAAAAAATAAAAATAAAAAAACCCTTATATTTGCAATACTCACCACTCCGATAGCCCAAGGCTACAGCCAAATCCATGGAATTATAGCCAGCATCTGTTTCGATAGTTGGATCAGCACCACTTTCTATGTAAAACAGGAAAAGAAACTCGTATTTCTGACGAGAACTGATAGTACATTATTACTGATAATTCAGTTTGGACAGTCTGCTTACCAAGGAGAATTTTTACACATTTCACATGGTTCCCATGTACCGCATATAGTAGAGGTGTGCCTCCATTCTGCAAAAGTGGAGAACAGCCTTAGACACTTAATGACTGAGCAGTCTGCAACTGTAATTCCTTAACATGCTAGTATACTTCTATGTATCAGTAAGAGACTTCACAGGTTTTATAAAAACGAGGTTCCGTTTTGGTTCTTCACAACTTCCATCTTTTTTTGTCTACTGTTTAGAATGTAAGCTCACCCTTCTACAAGGACTCAGTATTAGTCTCATTCTCTTACCAGGAAGTCAGAACTAGTACGGCCAACTTCTCTTATCCTATGGAAGTTTTGAAAGTCTCAGATATTTCAGAAAAGGTGGAACAATTTTCAAACCCAAGCCAGTGCTGTGCCTTGTTTCAAATTTCTGACCAAAGTACCCTCTGACATAAATTCAAGCTAGAGTCTTACCCAGTCATACTCGTTGACATCAACCCCACAGTCAAGCAGCATTTTGACAATATCTGTGTATCCTTTACTGCAAGCCAGTGAGAGGGCACTTTCTCGCCCTTTCCCCAAAATCTGAGGATCTGCACCCTGAAATAGTAACAAAAAATGAAATTCACCATGCTTTTTTTTTTTTTAAATGTGAGGTTTTATGCAGCACTTCACTTTAAAACTTTTAAGTGTATAGCAGCATTGACAAATTTAGGAAGGTAAATTGAACTAAAAAGTAAATCAATTTAAAATGAAGTGTGTTTTTTTTTTACTTACGTTCTGGAGGAGAAATTCCACTACTGCTATCTGCCCATGAGCTGCAGCCCACATCAGAGGGGTAAATCCCTCTTCATCCTTATGATTGATTACATTTTCTGTTTAAAGAAAAATATGCAACTTAGTAATTTCTTTCACTAATGCACTGTATGAGCTGGAAATGTGCTGACATATCCATGGTGAATGGACCGAGGTACCAGTGTGTCCTAAAAGTCATTCTCAACTTTAAAAAAATTCTATCCCAATGGTGGTGCAAATATCTTTGTCCAAGAAAAAAAACACATCCAACTCACCACAGTAAAATTTAAGATTTGGTTTTTGTTTTTTTTTTTTTTAAGCGCTATAAATCAAGCTCTGTTTTTACTCAGAAATGTTACAAGTTGTCTGTAATCTGGGCTTTATCTCTGGAAAGAAGAGAAGGGCTGCTTGAAAAATAAAGAGGTACATTCTGTATTAAACTGTACAAAGTGGGTGTTGGTTTTTTTTTTTTTTCAACCGAGCCACACACTCTTGTAAAGAATTAGCTTGTAAAGCAAAATATATAGTATAACTCCGTTCTCCCCAAAGTTCATGTAATCAATAGGGTGTTTTGTGTAAACAATTAAGGTTTACTGATAGTGCAGCTGGAAGGAAAAAGAACTTTTTAAACAATTGGCTGACTGAAATAATTGAATTGGAATTTTTTTTTAATATCTAAGCATGCGATTTTTTTAAGTGCTTATCATAGCATCACAATATGCATTTTTAACTGTTACTGACACTCCAGAATCAATTTGCTTTCCATCTACATGGCTCATTACAAAGTATATAGACTCAGCAACTCATTACCTGCCTTCCAGTAAACATGTCAACAAAGATGCACTGAAAGCATGGCTGATTACTAATAGTACAGTAAGAATATACTATTAACAGTAGTCAATTCAGTACATTATGTGGAGTTGAAATTTTGTATAAGTATTATGGACACACAAGTATCACACTAAAGACTACCACACAACTCAGAATGAGTAGCACTATTATTCTGCAGGTATGAGCTACGGCTTAAATTAGCAGCATATAGCTCTTTATGTTGAAAGATTAAATAGAATTGGAAAGCCACCATTAATAGAAATGTGTTTTAAATTACAAAGATAATTAAAAAAAAAGTAAATTAATTCTTCTGATAAAACTAACTGGTTCTCCCTTCTCATTTCCAAGGATTACCTATACAGCTGGGGAGCAGGGGGAGGAAGGGATTTACCTACAACTCCTAGTAACGCTAATGTTTAATTTAAAATCCAAATCATAGCAATGGTGAATAAAACACTCATGTGAAACAATAGTCCACATCTGCAAAGAACAGACACTTCAAATATCCTTCAATCTGTACCAGAATCAAGGATTTCTTTTTTAATACAGCTTTGGGGAAAAAGTCAAGCACAACAGGGTATAAATGCCCCAAAGAAAAAAGGAAGGCATTTAACCTCCATCTGTCTCACCTTGTTCAATACGCGTGGCCAGATATAACATTTCTCCCTGAGCAGCCAGCTGATGAACTGATAAAGCTGCAAAAAGGGAAGCAAAATGTGTTAAGACACTGCAGTTTTCATTCTGCTCTATTTGGAGCTGGGCATAACATGTCCATTGGCTTGAGCAGTACAGAACCTGGATTTGAGAGTGTAGATAGGTTTCACCTTATACTCTGAACAGGAATCACTATCTTAAAAACTGAAAAGTTTCCAAAGCTTTTCATAGGTTTAGGTAATTTTTTAACCAATGTAGAAAGCAAAGATACTTCCTGCAGTGACTTTTTACAAGGCAACATTCCCTCTTCTCTGATGCTTGGTCAGCACCTCAAGATCACATTAAGAACGTTTATCAAATGAAAATAAGCATCTTTTGATAAATTAAGGCTGTGTAGTTTAAAAATGACATCTAAGAGATCACATGCCATGAGGAGACCTGTCATGCTGCTCAATGAAGCCCATAGCATGACTCTCACTCGCTACAGTGTGGAATAGATCAGACATTACATAACTATACACAACATGACATCTACAGGGGAAGAAAGAGATTGTGGTTTTTTTTTATTTTTAATAAAAAGTACCAAGCATTAAAGCCAGAATAATTCTTAAGAGATTATGAAGGAAGAAATCTCTGATCCCGTAGTAAACTCTGCACAGGTGCATGGTTTTGATAATTACAACTTGGAACAGGTCTGAAAGGTGCTCGAGAGGGAATAGATAATAAATTATCCACATTATATAATAACAAAATTAGCTAATGATTACATAATATATAAATTTCACTGTCCTTTTCCTATACACTACATGAAAGCTTGATTTTGTTTTCAGAAAGATTATGTATTTTGTTCAGAGGCCTATGCTGCAGCTCCAGATTAATTTTTCCCACGCAAGTGGCCTTTTTTTTTTAAGCATTGGACTTATGATTTATAAAGGAAATAATTTATAGATGAAGTAAATTAGAGAATTTATAAAGAAAATACTTTACAATTAAGAATAACAAAACCCCATAAATAATACTGCTTTCTTGACTTTGAAGATCTGTGACAATCATGACATTTGCAGTAGTCTGTAGCACTTACCAATCATCTAATTTTAATAAATTTTACAAGATACACAAATTCTGAAAACAAATACATGAAGTATATTAACTTAATGCTTAGAAATTATTAGAAAAATCTTTACTTATATTTTTTAAATGAAGAATTGGATCCTCTCTGGAAAATACACTTCTGTTATGAATTCAATACAGCAGGTGGATTACTGTTTTATGGCTGGAACCATGTGAAATTAGACAAGACCACCTCAGTGTTTTCTTCCTATATTAAAGTTCATTACAACACCAAAGAAAAAATCTGAAAAATCTTCCAAGCATCTAACATACAGTTCACAAAATAATTATTAACATTAAGGCAGAAGGATACTTACAGTTTACAAGCAGAGGTGTTGTAGAGACCTCATTTCCCCTGTGTTTGTTAGTTAGGGTAGTTGATTGTTTTATTGGTGAGAAATGCTTAGTAGTTGATGGAGTATAAACATGTCTTACTTGGATACCAGGGGAAGGAGAAGTGTGGATGTTGCATTCAGCTACATTGAACAGAGAAAAAAAGACAGGATTTTAGCACTAGTAAGAGCATTAAAATCAAGCCACAGATTCTAAGTCGAACTAGAAAGCACCAGTATCACAAGATCTTTAAAACCCATGTTAAGTAAGATTTGTGAAATGTGCTTTTTCCACTGTGTATTGTGAGAGTTGAATAAAGGTCTGTATTCATTTCTAGCATAAAACAATGCTGCTATCTTACACATTCGGTATGGCATAATGTCACCCAAAGACAAGCTGGTGTCTAAATGAGGTAAGGCTTTGTCTAGATTTTCAACATGCCTGGCATGGATTTATCAGGCAGCTCCATTTAGCCTGTCATATCCTTACCAACACTCTCCAGCACAGTAACATGATGCAGCTCTGGTCAGCCATGCAGTCAGGTAACTGCTCAGCTGATCCCTTTGCCTACTCCCTAACCAGTCCACTGCATGGGTGGAGATGACCTTCACTAATTTTCTACACCAAGATTTTTTCCACTCCTGTTGGATAAAATTGTAACTGCATTATGAACGCCTTAAGAATACGTATCCAGCAGGAAGAGAGCTATTCCACACTAACTTACATAAAATGCGAAGCAGGTCACCAGTTAGAATTCAAGAAGTCATTCAGTGCTGCTGTTTGTTTGTACTAACTTTTCTACCTATCAGAATCTAATGGCATTTTATTACAGAACATATATATGTTATCTTTGCTTCTAATTCTCAAAAGTAGCTTTTGGTTTTGAGAAGTAGCTGAGAAGCCAAGTAATTTTTAAGAAGGTAACTGATTAAATGCTGGAAAGACATACTGAAGGATTAAACTCCATTACCAACTAAATTGATTTGACATCAGCATGCGCTAGTAGTTAATGACTGGAAGCTAATTAACACGTACACTGAATTCACACTGCACAAATCTGAGGAGAGAATCAATTAAAAAAAGCAGAGGGTAATCGGATGAAAATGAAATTACATTTTGTTGCCAATCAAATAGCTACAGCGGACTTGATTAAATTAAGAGACCCACCAGGGACTTTTTACTTGTGGTCCCTAGATTTGCATGACTACTTCTAAAGGGTTCACAAATGTTACCTAAGAAAAACAACCCTATCGCTGATGGGTCTAAATTTGCTGTTCAGGTCTGCAGCTCCACTAGTAAGCACTTAGCGCCTGCAAATCAAACAAGTTTGAACAATTACAATGGCTGAACTGCAGCCAAACAATACAAATCAGAGAAACCATCAAAATCCATAAGAGGTCTGTGTTTATATTTGTTACAGGAAATGGGTCAAATTCAACCTCATGAAAAGATACATCACTAACAGTCTGAAATATGACGGCAAGTACTGGAAACCACAATTGTTAAGGGGAAATAGATGGAAGTCCTAATTCTGTTCTCTATCGATACACTCAACCATAAAAAAAGCACACATGAATTCTGATGAAGCTGCCCAGTAATGGCTGGAGATTAGCTGCAGGGATCCAGAAATGGAGCAATCTTCACTTTCAAGTAGTGTGAAGCTGAACTGGCAAGCCAATCCCTACAACAACTACAGGCTTTGTACAGCCATATTGATAAAACAACGTCAACTGCATGACTCATGTTATTTTGTCATCATACTAGTGAAAAGATAAAACATGCTGCAGAAAGCTACTGAAGTTGAAATGATCATATAGTGCTTTCAGCAGTGTTTTGTAAAGATACATACATTCAACAGTGCGTAGCATGTTGTAGGACATGCTACGCAAAAGAAGTAAGCTTGTTTTCATAATCAGCATCAGCTCTTATTAAATTAGAGACTTTTTGTGCTGTTACTTTTTCAGTTAAGAAAAACATAATTAAAAATGTGATTTAAAAAATAATCTTGGGAGAAATTAATTTCACAGTAATAATTCTTTAAGCATATTAAAAAAATGTTAAGAGGAACAAATCTTAGAAAACTATTAATGATTAACAGAAGTGTAAGGCAGAGGCTTTTTTTTTAAAAACAGAACAGCTTAACAGGATGACACAGACCACATGTAACAATTTGTACCATAAAGTTCAACCTTTAAATAAGACAGATGCCACTTCAAGGTCAGAGTTAACTTGGTCTTGAATATTTTTACTGTCCTCCTCATTCAAAGATTTCACAAATCGTGAGCAGACGTTCATATCAAATCTATTGGGCAAAATGAATTTCATTCCCATGGCAACACTCTGAGCTGGGCCTTCCTCTGTGCTAGAGTCAAGCTGATGCTCCACTTTAATGTCCGGCATGGATGGAAGGCTGTAGCTAGTGGTACATTCTTCCACAATTAACTGGGCCCCAACATCTAAGTTTGTTGAAGATGCCATGGCCTCAGTCATGTAAAAGTTTTATGCAGAATGTTTCTTCATAGTTTCTAGCCACAAGCAGTCCTGGCCAACCACGCTGTATCTAAAGAGATCCTGATGCTTGAACAACCTGCAACTGAACACATGTAACATATGTTAACAACGTTCTGGTGAAGCAATGCATAAAAAATACAGCAAACTTGGCTTCCTTTAAGTTTAAGGCATTTGGTTTTGATAGTGAAAACCTTGGTGAAATACCAGTCTTACTGCTGTCACGAGCTATTGGCCAAATGCCCCGTTTAAGTTTTACCACAGGGATACTTGAGCCAAATTCCCTAATGAAGCCACTAGGAGTTTCATCTAAAGGACGTTTCAGAATATTAGGTGCGTTTCAACAAAAAAACCACCGCAACGAACCACGTCCATACTGAGCCAGGAACAAGCTATAAGAAGATGACTTTATTTTCTAAAAACATTAGACTTCAAGGAAACGTTAAAGTGACTCTTTACGACTCTAAGTCTTTTCATGACCCGAGTAAAATCAATGGCTTCTACCATACGCGTAGGAAAACGACAACCCCCTTTTAGCCCGGTGACAGTACAGCATCCCCGAACACCCCGGGCTTTCTGACAGCACCGCGGGAAGCCATTCGTGCGGCCGGGCCCCTCCGCCGCGCCCGGCGGACGGGACGGGACGGAGCGG